ATTAAAAGCGTATTTTCAAATCGCGCTATCATTATAAAAACGCTAATAGTAACAGTGCTTTCTCAAGTGAGGGGGGGTGGGCCTTTTTTAAATGGCTTTCTGTTAAAAACGTGTTTCCAAATCTCGCTATCATTATGAAAGCGCTAATAGTAACAGTGCTTTTTAAAGTAAAGTGGTGTTTTTTAAACACGCTTTCATAATTCCACTGCCTGGGGCAGAAACATGTTGAAAGCGTGTTTTGTAAACACGCTTTAACTTAGTTTAGGAAATTTTGCAAAAGTAAACTTAGTTTGGAAAATAAATTAATATAAGGACTTAGTTTGGGAAAAGTCTCGAGGCTATCCGTAACATTAATGGATGAGAGTCCCACCTCGGTGTCACCATCACCTTCAAATTAGTTACATTTATAGTTGGGAGTTTTTTATAGGTACCTAGCATATTCTCTAACTACATGTTAACTACTCAATTCATATTATATATTTAAATAATATTAAAATACTTTTGTTTTTTTTTTAATTTTAAAATTTTAACTTAATTCCTTTCTTCGTGTCACTTGGCCTTCTTTTTTGATCACCACTTCTCAATTTTATATTGTTTAATTTTGCCACACTTTAAAATTCAAGGAGGCTAGAAAAGAGTATAACAAAAGAGAAAAATGAGAAAGAGAAGCAAAGGGAGATGATGTGAAAGGAAAGAAACTGGACTAGAATTGTGTAGTCAAAGGTGGAAGTAGTGAGAAACAGGGACGGAGCTACGCCAAATGTACACCAGTGAAATCTCAAAATTTGTGGACTATATATAGGACTTTAACAAAAAGTTTTGAGTTTTTATAAATTGACCCTAGTGAAACTATACATTAATTTTGATAAATTTTTGTTTGTTCATAAGTTTTATGGATTGAAGTGTGTCAAATAAATAGATGCTTGAATGTTTTCTCACGACTTTTGAATTGTATGTTGTAAGCTCTTTTGTCTAGTTATTTGAATAGTGTTAATGTCCTAATATTGTGTTTTTACTTGTAATTAGTTTTGTCAATATAATTGAGAATATATGAAATTTAGAAAGTTTCTTGTAAATATTAATATCATATAATTGAATATTATATATTTATTTTTATCAAATTTATTAACCATGAGTATGCTACTTCAAATAAAAAATAAATAATAATAATAATAATAATAATAATAATAATAAATGAGGCACCAAGCATCCTTAGCATGACCGATTGAAAAATAAATAAATAAAAAATAGGACACTTCTACTAACATGTCCTATTACGTGATTGTGCTGAACACGTATCCAACACTAGTACATGATTTGTAGAGAAATGTTCGTGCATCATATTTGTTGGCTCTATGAAATCAAATAATTGACCCCGCTAAACAAAATTTCTAACCACGCCAAGGGTAGGCAGTAGAGATGTGCAGCAAGGCTAGGTAAGAGCTGGAAAAGGGCAACAAAATTTGAGAAAAGTGGCAAAGAATGGAGAAGGTCGCAGCGGTAGTGGTAGTTAATGGTGGTAGCCAATGGTGTGTACCAAGAAATGGTGGTGGTGGTGGTGGTGGTGGTGATATCTACTAAGAGATTATGTTTTAAGGTATTATTCGAAAAAATAATTTGTTTAAAGGATAACATTGTAATTTTAAAAAAAATTAAAGATATATTGAGATAATATGTGGTATTTAAATAGAAACTTCCTTATTTTTTAGACACGTTAGTAAGTTCCTTAAAACACACATTAAGCAAATTTAAAAAAATTATATATTTTTGTTACACGTATTTTCACAAGAAATGTATAATTCTTTGAAATTTTTTAACATATATTTTAAGAACACGCGTTAACAAAATTCTTTAATTTTTATGTTTTTTTAATATAGAGTAAGCCTTCGTTTGGGAAGTGGGTTGGCTTTTTGGCTTTTTAACTTTTTTAGCTATTTTAGCCTGGGGCTAAAAAGCCTGGTTTGAGAAGGGCTTTTTGGCTTTTTGACTTTTTGGTGAGGTGTCATCTTGTTAAATTATGAAATTGCCCTTTTCCATTTTTTTTTATTTTTTAATTTGGGTTTGGATATGGCATATTTTCCGTTTTTTTTTTTTTTTTTTTAATTTTGGCTTTTTTTTTGCTTAATTTTTTTTTTTTTGTTTTGGGTTTGTGGTTTTTTTTTTTTTTTTTTTTTTTTTTTATTTTTTATTTTGGATTTGGATTTGGCGTATTTTGCTAATAAATTTTGTTTATTTTTTATTTTTTTATTTTGGGTTTGGATTTGGCGTATTTTGCTTTTTTTTTTTTAAGTTTTTTTTTTTCGGTTTAAATTTGGCGTATTTTGCTTAAATTTATTTTTTTTTTTTTTTTTTTTTGGGTTTGGATTTTCTTTTTTTTTTTTTTTATTTTTTTTTTGGAATTGAATTTGCCATATTTTGGTTCTTCTTTTTTATTTTAATTTTGTTTTGTTGGGGTTTCGATTTTGCCTTTTTTGTTGTTTTGTTTTTTTGGAGGGGGGTTTCGCTTTGGCATTTTTTGCTTTACGTTTTTTTTTTTGACAATTTTTGTATGTTGTGTTTCGATCTCCCGAATTTTGCAAATCCAAATTTTTTATTTTTTATTTTTATTTTTTTTTTTTGAGTTTGGATTAGGCGAATATTGCGTTAATTTTTTATTTCTTTGACAATTTGTGTATTAGTTTTCTTTTTAATTTGTTTTTATTTGTTTCACCTTCTTTTTATTTTTCCAAAAGCAAAATTCGTATGGATTGTTGTTTTTTTAAGTTAGGCACGTCAGCAACTGGAAGGGGTTACATTCCCCTGGCAACTCATACATATTATACATAATAATATATTTGAATACAGTCTGTTCCACGTGTGTCATTACGTGACGACCATACGAACATTATTTCGAGTACTATATATTTCCTAACATTCCGTTATTACGCATGTAACATAATTTGTCGCGTATGTGAAGGCGGACCAATGCCATATGGGGGTCCTCATCTCCAACCATTAAACCATCCTCGTCATGTTCAACTTCTGGTATGGCATTTACTATCGTCATTACCTCTTGCTCGTCACAGATTAGCTGAACAGTTGTTGGGTTACCTGTGTTTCGTCATATATAATTATGTAATGCCATTACGCACCTACTAACTGAACTTGCACATTTGCAAAGTCATACCGAGGCATGTCTCTAATAAACCTCCATCGATTTTTCCAGGCACCGAAAGTGCGTTCTACCACACTGCGTAACGATGAGTGCACTTTGTTAAATAATTCCCTTGGTGTGTTTGCCATCGCGTTCCGTGCAATACGTCGGAATTCTTGTTGGTGGTAACGGTGGCCTTTGAATGGTGCTAAGTAACCAATCTGGTTTGGATAGCCAGAATCGACAAGATAATATTTGCCTACAGACATGACAACAATGTATGACACCAAAACGAACATTCAGCGTCATTTTCATATAACGCTTTCTCAAGAAAAATTTATTTGTTAATAAATCTAATAACAGGACCATGTGTTACCTTCGTCAGGATGTGGGAAGGTGACATTGTTATTTGTTAGTATCTCGTTGAATATGCAACTATCATGCATACTTCCTTTCCATCCGCAGGAAATGAATATGAAACACATGTCAAAATCGACAGCAGCCATTATATTTTGCGTGTGACAATATTTCCTACCGAAATATGTTGCCACATCCGGCCCATAACCCATGCACTGACATGTGTTCCGTCTATTGCGCCAATGCAGTCCTGCAAACATGGATAAATTTTTTTGTTGCGTAAGTGGGTAACAAGTGTTTCGTTTTTATAAAAGCGTCTCGTGCAGATAATAACAAAAACAAAATATATTGTCTTCATTTATATGTCAATCATGTTTTTCAAAAGTACCTTGAACGGTAGGTATTTCCGTCTAGACCGCACGTATGGATGTATAGGATGCTGACTGTATGTGGGCCGGCAATGTACAACAGTGAACTCTTTCATGGAAGTTAATACGTTATGCACGTGCCTCGACACAATCTCCCCAGAATGTTGGAACCGTTCTTGGATTTCCCGATTTTTCTTCCCTTTCAACACATGGATAAACATCGCAACGCTTTCTTCAACAGCTAAGCCATAGAGACGTTGCGGGACTTGTAACCCAAAATCATTGACTAATGTCTCACACAATGCGGCAAAAACTTCCTTCGGCATGCAAACATTTTCCTCAAATCGACCCATATGCCCCGCATATAGTTCGCATATCCATGTATTCCCGGTTAGTATAGAAGTGCGACACGGCGTTTTATTCATGTGTTTTTCGTACCATTCTGTCGCCAACTGGCATGCTTGTAGAAATGTGCAGTTCTATTCTTGTTGCACCTGGACCACCATTTGATTAAGCATTTCCGTTATTTCATCATGGTTGCTTCCATCCTAGGGATTCATCGCGTCTTCGTTAATGCGAAACCTACAAGAGTGACAGCCTTTCAATCAGTTGGCACGTGATTCATTGACTTAAATTTTATTGAAGTTTGCAATTAGAAAATGCCGACATTGTTTTTAATCAAAGTAATGCCGTCACCAATGTCATTTGGAACGCCTGATCATATGAATTGCACAAAAAAAAGAAGCTGTTCAACTTATGCTTTACAGGGGGGCCATGGTGGTAACAACCACAAAACTAGCCAGCAAACTAAACTAACAAATGAACTTGCGACATATAGGCATTCAAAAGTGTGCAAGTAAAACGTAATTCCCTGTCTTAAACGTACCCACAAAAAATATTATAACATAAACATCCCATTCATTTCCCAAAAACGAAGCACAACCATGCTTTCGTTCCGTCAACCCATGCACTTACCTAAAACTTGTTGCTGCCCGTAGCTAGTAATAAAAAAACAAAAACGACATAATGAAAACATGCACACACCACCATCCTGTTTTAGTACAGTGCCAACAATACCATAAGTCAAAGTTTTAAAAAGGAAGAGAAGGACATGCATCTTCAACAATCGTAACACCGCTACATCACATCCGGCGACCCCCAAACAGGTTTGCAAAAGGCGCCGACGCAGTACACTGGAGCTGCTTCTGTGTAAGCCATCCAATGATGCGGTCGTCATCAAGCTGGCACATCATGACCTCCCGGTAATCGGCGTTATCCATAAGTGTGGAGGCGAAGTGGAATAACGGTGTAGCAATTAGGAATGGAATACTGCTCAGTTTATGCATGCACTCGGAAATAGTGTACAGCGATTCGTTGCCTGTGAGGTGCCTCACCGTGACCTGCTGATTCTTCGAACGCACCACATCTGTCATTCTGTTCATGCTTTCCGCAATAACGGACGCACCACTTGTTCCCTTCTTCGACTTTGAAACACTTGTTGATGGCGTCTTTCTCCTTTTTGCCTTTTCAATCGGAACATGCTCCAGTGAAGTATCAGAATCCACGTCCTGTACTCTTGCGGGTATCGGATCAGCAAATGGCTAGGCTCCCAAACTACGCACTGAATCAGATGAGTCCTCAGCAGGTTCGGGAAGGTTCTCTCCCGGGGTCCAATGATGCTTCCCAGTAGCTGATGCCCCCATGAAGACCGTCTCCATCAAGTCACGGTGTTCCAAAGTTTTTTTCCTGAACTTCGCACACGCCTTATTGATCTGCAGAAATATAGATGTATGAAAGAGGCAGACGTTATATTTCATATAAATAAATTCTATTGAAGTCAAATGAAGAAGTAAAAAATGTATCCGTAAATGAAAAATATAAAACTTGTTTGTACATGTACTTACTGATTCCATCTTGTCCCACCACTCGTCAGGTGCCTGAAACAACTCGGTGTCATAGTCAAAGCCTATCCCGGACACTCCCTTGCTTGAATCCATCAACTTTGTCCACGCTTGCCACTCTTTTTTCAAGGTCATGTACTTATTCTTCAACTGTTTCAGTCCATGTTTTTTTCCTGTTTTTTTCTCAAATTTCCTTGCCAATTACTTGTACCCTGCTTGGCTGAGGACTAAGAATGGGCAATTTCCTTTACTAATCTCATTTGCAATCAACTGGAGGAAAACTCGGACTGAGTTACTGTCCCATGACGCCTTGTAGCTTAACTGATTTTGTGTCTCTTCAAGACTGCTTGACTTGTCAGTGACAACGCCTTTGCTTTTCGAGTGGTTACGCGGCGAAGTACGTGTCGAAGCCATTACTAATGTACGATTACAAAAGATTACCATCACAAATTTGGTTGTTATATACACACGCATAAGCCATGACACATTAATAACAACAAACAGAGATATATGATGCTAAAGTTAAATTTGCATATAACCATTGAACATTACTAACGTACATACACAGGTTCCATGGAAATTAGTAGTGGACAAAAATATGATAGTTAGTATTACGGCTCCCATATGCGACAACATACTACCAACATAGTATGAACATACTAACAACATACTGACAACATACTAACGTCTTTGTACATACTAAGAACATGGTAACGGTACTTACATACGGCACAACAAAATGACAACAACAATGCAGAGCACATATACAATGGTCTTAAGGACACGCAAGGATTGTTGAATGTCTATGACATCAGCCCGCAATTGCATGGCAATTTCATCTCCGGGTGACACATAGCCTTGGTTCTCTTGCCTTCGTTCTTCACACCAACCAATCCAACTTACACAGGGCTAATGAGTGAAAATTATGGAACTATTAGTTTCATGGGTTGTTAATGTTCATAAAGTTATGACCGGTAAAGATTGGGTCACTCACCACAGGGCGGGGACAGACAAAGTAGGAACGCCCTGGATTTTTGGTGGACTTGGAAATCTTAACAATACACGGGCCATGTCCACAGGCACACATTCGTCGTGGCCATGTACTGGAAGTTGTAGTAGAGGTGAACGACGCCATGCTACGCTTTAATATAAATTAAATTTACATGAATCAACATGAACAGATACGAAGAGTAACGCAAATTTATATTTTAATATGTTTTTAACATCGTTTTAAACATCGTTTTAATATATTTGTAATATTTTTTTTAATATACCCAATTTTGTCATATATTTGTAATAACTTTTTAATATATTTACCTTCCTTCCCAAATTTAGTTTGTAATCTATTTTTGACACTCTTTACTATTTAAATCAAAAATTCTAATATTTATTTTAATATATTATTAATATCTTTCTAATATAGTTTTAATATATTTGTTAATAAACTTTTTTTTTAATATATTTGTAATATAAATTTCATGTATTTTGTAATTTGTTGTTAATATATGTAGATAATATATCTACATTCCTTCCCAAATTTAGGTCCAAATATATTTTTTATCTAATTATTTTATTTTTTAGAAATGAGAATTGAGCATTTCGTATTGAGTAAAAAATATACTGAAATTAATAAATTTATTTTGTAATATATTTTGAATATATTTTTTATGATATTTTGAAAATGGATTTTTGAAAATATTTGTACTACATTTTTTAATAATTAAATTTTGTCATATATGTTTAATCAAATTTTTACACTCTTTACTTTTTAACTCTAAATTTGTAATATATAATTTAATATATTATTAATATCTTTCTAATATAGTTTTAATATATTTGTTAATAAACTTTTTTTTTAAGAAATGAGAATTGAACATTTCGTCTTGAGTAAAAAATATACGCAAATTAATACATCTAATTTGTAATATATTTTCAATATATTTTTTTTTGATATTTTGAAAACATTTTTCAATATATTTATGATATAGTTTTTCATAATTAAATTTTGTCATATATGTCTAATAAAATTTTTACAGTATTTACTTTTTAAATCTAATTTTGTAATATACATTTCACATATATTTTTTTTCATATCTTGGTAATATATTTTTACTATATTGCTTAATTGTTGACAATTTTTGTTTGTTTTTTTTTTTTTGTACTATAAGTTTTATATATTTTGTAATTTGTTGTTAATATATCTAACTTCCTTCCCAAATTGAGTTGGAATTATATCTAATTTGGTATATACATTTCATATATATTTTGTAATTTGTTGTTAATATATATTTTTTTATGTAATTGAGTTGGAATTATATTTTTTATATATTTTTCACAAATGGGAATTAACCATTTCTATTAGCAAAAATTCAGGGTTCAGCATTGATTATAAACAAAAAATATAACAAATCTGCCCCAAATGTGTGATAACCGAACAGATATATCTGCATTTCAAAATATAACCGAACAGATACAAAAAATATAGAACAGATTTGTACATTAGAACAGATATATAACATTGGCATTTCCTTCAGTTTAAATAACGGTGCCTTCATAAATCTGCCCCAAATTTGTGATTCAGAACAGATATATAAGATCAACAGATCTGATTTTCATAAATAAGAACAAATATTTTAAGAAGAACAGATATATTTTATATATATATATATATATGCGTGTGTATATATACAAATCTGCTCCAAATTTGTGATTACCGAATAGATTTTGAACATAACAACAGATCCAGAATCCTAGATTTGTCACAGAGACAGATCGGTGCCCCACCTGTGTGTGATGTAAGCGTAATCAACCCAATCACGACCATAAAGCAACAGATCGGCCATGAACCGATGCTGTTATGAACCTAAACTATACAGATGGGAAGAAGAAGAAGAGAAATCAGATAGGCCATAGAGCATTACCTGCAGATCGGTTTGAGTTTGAGAGGCTTCGTTGTTGTTCGCTGCCGCGGATGTGTACTCCGGTGGCGATTTCCTCTGCCAATGTCGCTCAGATGCCGTCAGATAGCTCCGTTCTTCTTCTCTTCTGCTTTGCGAAGGGTGTATTGGGTTCAATCTGAGGCTTGTCCTACAGATGAAAGAGAGTTTAACCTATCGGGGCATTTAGGTAAATTTACACGACCAAGCCTCTCCCATACCCGTGAAATGCATTTTTGTCGGGACGTGGCTGAAATAGCCAACTTTGTCGCGACGTGGCTAATTTAGCCCAGCTTTTCCTTCCCAAACAACACCTAAATCACCAAAATTTAACTAATCAAGTTGGCATTAGTGAATTTTTAACATTTTAACTTTTTCAAATCTAAAAAAACCAATGTGAATTGTTAATTACTTTTTTATTAGTAAAGTAGTTATAACTTTTAAATTTTTTTATTTTATTTTTTTTAAAACTGACTAGTAAACCCAAAGTAATTTTTTTAAACCAATGTATTTTTTTTATTAGAAAAAAAAAATCAATGTCACTAACACTAAAAAATAAATTTAATTTAAAATAATTTTGTTGGAGAGAACCCTCCTTGTGAAATGACAATTTATTTATAATGTTAAAAAATAATATTATTTACAATGCACTTTTCATTACTTTCCATTATTTTTTAGCAAATCAAGTGTGGGCATAAACATTGTGATGGAATATGATCATTATTTTCCACCTTCATTTCAATAACTCAAATACTACCACAAAAGATGAAACAAAATAATGAAATAAATGCAGTCATATATAGCATTCCTCCCTGAAAAATTGGAGGCCGTGCATTTGCTTTCCAAAGCATGAGAGAATCCCATTTAAAAGATCTATACAATAATTAAGCATAATAATGTTCCTATATTCTATTGAACAATCATTCCTTTCTTATCCAATTGCCTCAGCATCCTAATCTAAAATCTTAATTGGAATTAAGATCTGAACTGATATGTACAGTATAATTTTTGAGAGCTCAAAACTCAAAATTTGTTTGGTTTATAATTTTCACAAAAACTATTTTCATTCACTTTTTCTATTTCTTCTCGCTTCTCGCTTCTCACATCCTCCATATCAATCAATTACTTTTTCTCTCACACCCATCTATTCGACTAAAAAAAATTACAAATCATCGCAAACTAAAAACTCCAATTACAAAGTTACAGACTTATTTTCAAAATATACAACCAAACAAATTTTCAAATTTTGAAAACTCTTTTCAAAAACTTACCTCTCAAAATTGATTTTAAAACTAAACCAAACACAGCCCAAAAGTAAGAAACCAAGAACCAAAAAAGACTGAACATCATGGAAACTCGGCTACTTTGAAACATCCATAAGAAGAATAGACAGTTGCAAATCTTTGTGGCTCATCTTCTGGATATGACAATGGAATACTCATCTCGTTCGCGAAGAAGTAAAATGGTGCTTGTGCTATGCAATTACTTGCACTCGGAGTGGAGGTCGTGCCGACTGCTGGTGTCATCATCTGAGGTTTAGTGTTCTGGACGGCTAACCAAATCATCACGTGGATTGTCAAATGAATCACGAACTGTAAAGAAGTGATCATCATCCACTGTCGGCGTATAATCCTTTCCCCTCCATACCACAACCTGTTCCTTGTCAAATGTCACCAGGACACAAGGCACCAAGTCCTGCGTGAAATTGTAAGAAAGAAAGAAATAGAACATACGGGTGTAATCAACAGTGTCAAAAGGCGAAACCAAAATAAGTTTAGAAAAGGATCGGTCTATAAGTAGATTGGTAAAACACTTTTCCAGTCACCAAGGTATTAGAACTTCAGTAGCAACAATGCATGGAACAACTGAAACTGCCACCAAAGTCAATTTACATCCACAAAACATAGCGGAGAGCTACTTCAATTGGATTGCATGAATGCTAAATTTAAGTTTACTGAGCATATGTTTAGGATAAGATGGGACGTTGATGTCAATTTTTTCAATTTTCCTTTTCCTTTTTTCTTTCCCTCCACAAATCCCCACTCAAAATCTTTGATCCAAACACAACTCAAATGGGAATATGTTTCGGATAAGATGGGAGATACACATTTCAAATTCAATCACAAATGATCATAACCGTAGGTCCGTAGGAATAGATATTAATCAAGAGGAAGAAGCTACAAGCACAAGAAGATAGCCAACAGAAAAGTAGAGGTGGTGAAAACGAGATCGTGAGCCATGACTTAGCGCATGATATGGCCCCCCATCTGAGCTGAATAGCAAAGTGAAATTCATGTGGCCAACATGGGGTTGTTGGAATGTTATGCTTTACAACTGTTGCATACAATAAATCTGTTGGAGCTCACAACACTGTAAATGTTCCAAGCTTATCTGTTAACTGTGTATTTTGCTTCTTGAAGTTATTAAATTCTGCAAATTAGATATTTACAACTAATCATCTAACATAACTAATGGTTTTTTATGTAAAACAAAAATAAAATAAAATTACAATCATTAATTTATCAGCAACATAACTTGTTCTCTTTCTAGTTGAGGTTAGAGAAGGAAGGTTGCAGTGTTTCTTCCGTCTGGAGGAAGGTGGGGTGTTAGGTAATTTAACTCAGGTCATAAAACAATAGTCAGTCCTACTTGGGGTTACTTGGGGGATTTACATCATAGAAATTATATTTGCTTTTAATAGACTCAAACACCAGACCACCTTTGTAAATTCAAAATTTCAGTATAATTCTTCATGCAAAGTCATAATTATCAGTTAGTAGCAGTTTGTCATCTGTTCGGCTTACAGGTACGTTGAACGTACATGTAAGCATTTTCATATAAGATAAAAATAAAAACAGAATCTCACATCTGACCCTTCCTGAACCTCGCAATGGCAAAACACATTCATGTGGCCAATGTCAACCAGTTGAATTAAGACTTACATCTGACCCTCCCTAGACCTCACAATGGTGGGAGCCTCGTGCACTGGGACTGCCTGTTTTTAAGCTCTCGCTATGCCTATTCCATTATATAAAGCACACAACTTACTCGGTTGGAGCTTAGTCATGCAATTTTGATTTTCAAAAAAAATTAATAGCAACAACATAATTTCCCCAACTATTACCTTTGCCTAGCAATTACTATAAGGACCAAAATGTAAAATCAACAAATCAAAAACCATATGTTAAGTTACTCACGCATCCCATGGAGCCAGACGCTAGTACTATCTATATATATGCATGTTTTCTTTGCTTTTCCTTTTTATATTTTAAATACAAATCTCTCTTCGTCCCCCAAACCCCAGCCAACAGTGCACTTATGGGGGCAATTTGCAACAAGCATGGAACAAATTACTAAGAAGAACAAAAGATAGCAGATTTTGTATTGGTAGTTACAAGACAACTTCCACAAGGTAAGATTAATCAAAAGCTAAAGTTTTACCCTCAGTTTGCAGCCTAGTTTCTTGTAGTCACTCTTTTCAAGGCCTTGGCAATCTATCCGAACCAACTCACTGGCAAGAAAAGCATCTCGAACCATAGGTACAAGACTACCATAATAACCATTTTTAGCTGCATTTGAAACTGATGTGTTAGAAACCATACAAAGTGACGGTATTGAAAGCTACTACTGACAGAAGGTTTACCAAGTTTTGTTAAGGCAGGAACAGCCAACCCTTTCTTTCTCATTCCCTTTGTTTCTTCAATGCTAAGGCCATCAATCGTAGTTTTGATAAGCCTGGGATATACAGGCTCGTGAGGCTTCCACAGCATTAAAGGAATCACGGGTCTCTTCTTGGGGATATAATTCCTGCCCCTGTATAATATGAGTAGACCACCATGTCTATGGATAATCTTGCCAAATGTTTTATCCTGGAATACAAGCATAAAACTTTGATTAAACAGACAAAACAGAATATCTAGGAGCCCATTAGATATGAATAATAACCAAGTTCATAATAAAATGGCACGAATAAATGTAAAAACCATGGGCAAAGAGGTACAAATTAATCTACCATGGTGTACAAAACACACAAGAAACAAAAGCATTACATACAATATGAATGTGAATTGCAAAAGGTTACTTCCGAAAGGAAATGCCTCTATGCACTATTCCTTTCTAAATAACGTCCTTAGAGGAGATGAAACCAAGAGAAGGAAATGCTTCTAGACATGAGGGGAACAAAGTACCTCTAGCTGAGTGCAAACATTTTTCATATCAACGGTGGGTACACCCATACACTTCACCCTGACAGCCTCAGTGTGTTTCCAGTGATTATGAATATCATTCAACATGTTGTGTGTTAAACCATCCCTTCCTACAATAGAAACCATGAATGCCAAAAGTGAGCAGAAAAAGGTGCTTGAGAAACTGCTGTCCCGCTTTTTTTTCCTTCTTTTTTTATATGGTGGAAGTGTAAATAGTGACATTCTAACAGCCTGAGTGTAACTCATTCAAAAATCTAAAAAACTTGGTCAAGCTGTAATTTCAATGATTTTTATTTACAAGATTGCTAAATTAGTAAAGAGTACGAAAGATACTGGTTGAATTAGCAAACAATTCCATGCTATCTTACTCCTTTTTAACTCAAAGAAGAAAATGCCTTGTGTTCTACTTCAGAATATTAAAATCAGACCATCAAATTCATTCTTAACAATTGACCATCATGTCAATTAAAAGCCTTCCTCTATGATATCTAATCCTCAGATAGTGACCTCATTCGACCCCAGCATTCCTAATCTTCATTCTTTACAACTCAAGAAACAGAATAAATAAATTAAGCATTTAAGCACTAATCAAAATCCATTTCAAAAACATAATTTACAGAGCTTCGTCATTTCTACAAACTATTTAATAATTCAAATCTAGTTTACTTTCTGGATACATATCTGCATTTGATTTGTTATTATGGGATTGCTTGGGGTGTCCTAAGTACTTTTTGAACTAAAAAGTAGAAGAAAAAAAAAGATCATTATTTGGGACAACTTTTTGTCTTTTTTTTAAAAAAAATGTGTATTAAAATATTATATAAAATAACAAAATTACGTTTTTACCCCTATGTTCTAGATTCATCAGTGACAGTGCTGCAGAAAGACCGTTCAAAATGGTTGAAATGGTGAGAAGAATCTGAACCATATGCAAATATAGCATGAGGCTTCATGGGTACTGTTGGGCCCGTAGGAGCCCACCACGGGTTCCATTTCGATAATTCAAACTGTTAATGTATAAAACTCGTTGAATACTATATGCCGGTAAAAAATCACTTTGATCGGATATCGATAGCTATGTGATCAAAATAGTTTTGTATGAGAAAAATGGACGGTGAAAAATAAACGACTAGAAAAAATTAATTTGATCACATAACTATCCATATCCGATCAATGTGCTTTTTTTCAAGCATATAATACTCGATAAGTTTTACACATTAAATGGTTCAGATTATTGAAATAGGATTCGTGGTGGGTCCCCACAGGGCCCAACAGTACCCTCCAATTTAATGAATATATATCTTTTCTTTTTTTTTTTGGTACCATCACTACATAAATTTCTCATCATTTCAGTACCATCACTGTGTAGCTTTTTGGATTGTACTAATATTGTGGAAACTAATTTTTTTTTTTTTTTTTTAATTTATAAATAGTGATAACTTTTTTACTTTTTGAATAATTTTTTTGATTTTTTGACGTTTTCTCAACCTGCCAAACCAGCCCTATAATTAAAAAGAAATTACATTGTTTCATGGAGCTTGGGCTACTTATGATCGAATAACATATATCACCCTTGTTAGGCGAACTCTCTCCAAATACTGCTTTTGGAAAAAATTTCTGAATACAAAACACATTTTTTGAAACATAAAAGTTGTTTTCAAACGTCCCAAAACTGCTTTCACACAAAAATAAAAACTACAAGACAATGGGCCCGTTCAAACTTTTCATTATTTTGTTTTCAAAACGCTGAAAATGAAAACAAAAACCAAAAAAATACAGAAAATGAAAACACAACTGTTTCTCCATCAAAAAATTGCATTTTGATGTGTCAACAACTTCACTAAGATAATACCAGTATCGTAATTTAAAGAAGAACAAATGAAATTATAAGCTAAATAATCAAATTAAAACAAGAACTATCAAACAAATTACGCAAGAAAAAGAAGAAGAAAAAATCTCAATACCCAAATTAATCTGGCGCTTTGTTCTAGGACTCTGACACCGGTCCACCAGAGCCTTCCTCTCAGCATTCGTCAATGGCTCCCCCAAAGTCTTCTCTCTCATCTTCTTCCTCTTCTCCTCCAACTTCGAATCCTCCTTCCCATCCTCCACCGACCCAACTCTTAGCTCCACCGCCGGAGCACACACTCCGGTCCAGACCCGGTCCAGCCGATCCGGCCCGAAAGGCGAGTACTTCGGCTCTCGGAGTCCAATTGGCCTCACATCCGGGTTACTCTCGGTGTAGCTGAACCGGAAATCGAAAGGCAGGTCCGAGCGAACCGGCTTTGCTCCGCCGCGGTCAAGCGACGATGGCGGACGGTACGGCGGCTTTTGCGGCTTCTTGGTGGTTGGGGTTTTGGGGTTAGGGTTAGGGTTTTGGTCGAGAGAGAGTGGGGGTTTGAAGGAGTACTTGGTGTGGAGGTTGGAGGAAAGAGGGGTTGTGGTGGTGGTGGTGGTGGTGGTGGTGGAGAAGGAGGAGAGGTGGTGGCGCGTGAAGAAGAGAGAGAGTGAGGGTGGTTTCCGGCGATAGGTTCGGGCGATGAAGATGAACATCTTCGTGGAACCACGATTTCCAGTGAAAGAGTACTAGTGAAGAAGGGACCAAAAAATGGAATTTAGGCTCTGTTTGGGAATTGGGGAATTGAAGTAAGGATTTTAGTATTAAAAAAAAAAGTAAATTTAGCTATAAACCCCTTTTATCTTCCTTTCATTGTTAAAAGAACTAAGAAAAAAATTATACTTTCTAAACCTCCTCATAATTATAAAGTCTTGCGTAAAGGATAAATTTATTATTTAAATATTTTATATGACTATTATACCCACTCTCTTCCTTTCCACAGATGGCCTCTTCAAGAAGACCGGCGAGCTCTGCAACTTGTGTGGCACCGAAGCCGCCGTCATCACCTTCTCCAACACCGGCAACACCTTCGCCTTCGGCAACCCCTCCATCGACTCCGTCCTCGACCGTTACCTCTCCATGACTTCATCATCCTCTAGAACCTCCGCAAGCTTCTCTTCCCTCTTTTGATATAGAGTTTCAACTCAAATCTATGCACCATGAACGATTCCGATCTCTAATATATATATCTATATATATGTGTGTGTTTGTGTGTTTTGAGATTTGAATTCGAATATATATATCTATATATATGCGTGTGTTTGTGTGTTTTAAGATTTGAATTCGAATATATAGATTTTTTAAAATTCAAAGTTTTAAAAATCTGAAGAACCGGGGTATAAAAAATTGAGATTTCTCTAAAATTTTCAGATTATAGGCCTGATTCAAGGATTATAGGCATGATTCAATGTTTTTCAAAGTAAACATCGATTGATTCAAAGATTATAGGCTTGATTCAAAGCTCAAAGTTCCATCAATTTTTTAGAATAAACATCAAATTTCATTTGATAGAATCAGAGTAAAATTTTACTTTGGTTCTATTGCTCTGTTTTTTTCATTTGACAGAACCAGAGTAAAATTTTACTTTTAGCTTCAGAGTCTTACAGTTTACTTATTTTTAAGAGTAAAATTTTACTTTTATACAGAATAAAATTTTACTTTTATACAGAATAAAATTTTACTTTTAGTTTCAGAGTGTAAAATTTTACTCTCATTCATAGTAAAATTTTACTTTTATACAGAGTAAAATTTTACTTTTAGCTTCAGAGTGTCATAGTTTACTCATTTTTCAGAGTAAAATTTTACTTTTATATAGAATAAAATTTTACTTTTAGTTTCAGAGTGTAACATTTTACTCTTATTCAAAGTAAAATTTTACTTTTATACAGAGTAAAATTTTACTCTGAAATACACAGTGAAGATGGCTTAATAGGAGAGCTGATAGATATGAGGATAATATAGTAAAAGAAACAAGTTGTAAAATATTATGGGGTTTTGAAAGTACTTATATAATTCTTGTCCTTTTGAAAGATAAATTAGATAGTGAGTGGGCTATCACCAAATCCCCCTTAAAAAAATAAAAATAAAAATTATTATAAATTGTCAAATTATTATTATTATTTTTTTTTTCTACTTCTTTTGAGTCAAAAAAATCTATTAAAAAATTTAGATTGCATTTGGTAGAGTTTTGTAATTATGATTTGAGAGTATGAGTTATATTTTGAGTTAGTGGGGTTTGGAATTATGATTTAAGCGTAGAAAATTTGTTTGGTAAAGAGTTTTGAAAAGAGTTTTAATTTGAGTCGGGAATTGTTGATATGACATTTAATATTTGATACAAAAATTTACAACTCATAACTAAACATATAACTCAAAATTATTTTAAAGTACATAAAAAATTTTAAAAATTTCAAAAAGTATTTTTTTCGATTATATAAAAATTAACATATCAATTGCAAAAAAAAAAAAAAAATCACTATTCTGGTCAACCCGTCGGACGACTGGTTAGGCAAAATTTAAATAAAAAAAAATTCTGAAAAGCGTGGCTGAGACAGAGCTCTCTGCAAAGTTTTGGAAACGTGATCCCAAAACTCTTACCAAACATCATACTTGAATCAAGATGCAAAATCATGATTTGAGAACACAACCAAACACAACCTAAATTTTCAAAAAACTGAATTCATAAAAGTGAAACGAAACCCACTGAATGATGTTCCTATCTTTATCTGTGCCTCTAGCTAGTTTTATTTTCTCTCTCTATTATAGATCTGTTCAACAACAAATCTATTCAGATCTTAGCCATTATAGATCTGTTCCATCATCAACAACAACATTCATTATCATCAACAACAACAACAATAACCAAAAATATAACTCCAACGAGATCCAAGAAAAAGAAAAAAAAAAACAAAAACAACAACAACAAAAACAAAAAAAACAAGAACAAAAAAGATAATAAATACGACAGATTCTTGTTGCTTGTTTCTTGAGAAAACAAAACAAATATATATATATATAGAGAGAGAGAGAGAGAGAGACAG